TCTGTGTCCTGTCCCCTTTTTCTAATTTTTAATTTTTAAAATAGAGACGTGGTTTGCTATGGTGCCCAGGCTGCTCTTGAACTCCTGGGCTCAAATGATCCTCCCGCCTCAGCCTCTCAGAGTGCTGCAGGGCGAGAGCCACTGCACTTGGTCAACACCTGGTCTCTTTTCTATCCGATGGAGACATGAAGGGACACAGAACCGAAAGAGCCAGGGTCAAGCTATGATTGTTTTTCTCTGTCTCCATAACCTGTGGCTGACACGAGGCCAGCCTCTCCCCCATCTGTCCTCTCTCAGACACCCAGGAGAGGGGGTGAATGTGGTTAAAATCTGGGATCTGAACCATGCACACTGTCTTCAAGTTCCGGCTCCCCTGACTGTGTCACCTTAGACAAGTCACTTCACCTCTCTGAGCTTCTCTTTCCACTTGTATAAAATAGGGACAGTAATAGCCCCTACCTTCTGGGATGAAAAGAAATGCTGCTTGTAACGGCTTCGGTACAGCCCCAAGCACATGGCGAACACATAGCTTCCTCCTCCCACCTGCCTCTGGTCATTCTCTGTTGCCAGGCCATTCCCACCTTGCCTGTCATCTTGGAAATCTCTGATCGGGCTTTTGCCAGCCAAAAAACACTTCAGTGCCTCTCCACTGCTTTAATTAATATATTTAACAGTCGGGTGCAGTGCCTCACACCTGTAATCCAGCATTCTGGGAGGCCAAGGTGGGAGGATTGTTTGAGCCCAGGAGTTCAGGACTCATCTAGGCAACAGCAAGACCTCATCTCTACAGAAAATTGAAAAATTAGCTGAGCGTGCACACCTGTAGTTCCAGCTATTTGGAAAGGTGAGGTGAGAGGATTGCTTGAGCCCAGGGAGTCAAGGTTACAGTGAACTGTGATCATGCCGCTGCACTCTAGCCTGATAATAGAGTGAGACCCTGACTCAAAAACAAAAAGTAAAATAAATAAAAACAAACAAGTATGTATTGAGCAGCTAGGACTGGAGGTTGGGACTGAAGGGGGCTAAAATGTCTGTCCTTGTGGAGCTGAGCAGATATGGAGGCAACCGTGTAGTTCATGCAGCCAGTCAGGCGGTGGAAAGTGCTGAGAGAGGGCGTGTGGAGGCGACTTGGGAGAATGAGAAAGTGACTTGGGGTAAAGAGCTGCAGATGATGGGAGGAGGCAGGAGCTGGGCATTTCACTGTCTGGGGAAAAGCATCCTGGGCCTGGGACTGGTGGATGCCAAGGCCCAGAGGAGGGAGCATATCCAAAAAGGTCCGGGAGGCTGGCAGGCTGGGCAGGGCGAGCCAGGATGGAAGAGCAGGTCTGGAGGTCACCGAACGGGGTGACCTTAACATTGATGCTAGCCCACTTGGCTTTTACTCGGAGTGAGGTGGGGGCTGCTGGAGGGTGTTGAGTCGATGTAATGTCCTCTTGGGACAGGGTCCTCTTTGGCTGCCCATGGGGAACAGAGAGGTGGGGAGGGATGTGGTGAGGCTGAGAGGGGCCGGGCAGTGGCGCGCTGATGAGCTTGGTTGAGGCCACAGATACTAGGGGTGGAACTAACAGAACTTTCAGGCTGACTGGATGGGGGCATAGGAGGGTGGCCCCAAAGTGTCGGGCTTAACGTATCAGTTTTCTGGAGCTGCTATAACAAATTAATACCAGCCAACTTAAGAGCAATGGACATGTATGGTCTCTCAGTTCTGGAACCTGGAAGTCTGAGATTAAGGTTGAATGGGGTCATGCTCCCTCTGAAGGCTCCAGGGGAGCAGCCTCCCGGCCTCTTCCAGCTTCTGGCAGACCCATGCTCCTTAGCTTATAGGCGTATCACTTCATCCTCACGTGGCCTCCTCCCTCTGTGTCTTGTTTTTGTGCCTCTTTTTTTTTTGAGTTGGGGTCTTACTCTGTCACCCTGGCTCGAGTGTAGGGTCATGGCTCACTGTGGTCTCGACCTCCTAGGCTCTGGTGATCCTTCTGCCTCAGCCTCCTGGCCCCGCTAGAACTACAGGCATATGCCACCACACCTGGCCAATTTTTTTTTTCTAGAAACAAGGTCTTGCTATATTGCCCAGGCTGTTTTTTGTTTTTAAAGATATGGGGTACAATTCAGAATTAGGTATACAAGTGGTCGTCATATAGGTAAAGTTTGGGTCTCTCTTTGGTCCCCACCAGGTTGTTCTTATACTTTGTACTCCTGCCTCAGCCCCCCAAAGTGCTAGGATTACTATAGGTGTGAGCCACTGCACCTGGTTGAGAATTCAATTTTTTTTTTTTTTTAAGTTGGTGTCTCACTCTGTCACCCAGAGTGGAGTGCAGTGGCCGCTCCCGGCCACCGCAGCCTCGACCTG